TGACAAGAGCTGAGCAAGGTGGCAGGTGGACAATGTAATAAGCCAGGTGTGGCCCATACCCATCTGAAGCTCACAAGGACAAGCTTATGGATGAAGGAGGACTAGTGGGTGGGGAGAGCCTGGCCAGAGAGGGCATCTGCGATTAAGCTGGTGGTTCAGCTGAAGGGAGGGCTCTGTTAACAAATGCTAAGAGCTGCAGTGGGGAGTGGGGTGAGGGGACTTTGAATGGGGGGAGAATAATCCCGGCAAAGGGAAGCACATATGTGAACAGGCTAAGCTGGTCAGCAAGTGAAGTGTTGATGAGAGGCAGGACTGGATGGTGCCGGGGGTGGGGGTGTGGGGTGTGTGTGTGTGTGTGTGTGTGTGTGTGTGTGTGTGTGTGTGTGTTGGCCTTTTGGTGAATGGATTGGCCGGCGAGAGGGGGGCAGGTGAGGAAGCTGCTGCCCCAGGTAAGGGGAGAGCTGCCCAGTCACAGGGAGATCTAGGGAGTGGGTAGAGATGGATGAAGGGAATGGATGGCAAATTGTATGTACGGTAGAAACCTTTGTGATCTCTAAACTGAACAAATTAAACGTACAGCCATGGAGTTGACTCACTCATAGTGACCACAAGGTCAGCAGTTCGAAACCACCAGCAGCTCTGTGGAGAAAGAGGAGGCTTTCTTCTGTAAGGATTTGCAGTCTCAGGGACCTGCAGGGACGGTTGTACTCTGTCTAATGGGTCGTTGTGAGGGGTGCCCTCAAGTCCAAGCCCAGGACAGTCGAGCTGCAGCGGAGAAAACCTGCCGAGCCTGCCCCGCATGGCCGCAGACACCTATGGTGGGGTGGGCTGGCTGGCTATGAGGGAGTATGGAAAGGCGTTGCTTTAAAGGGGGTTCCCGTATTCAGCCCCTGCGTTCCAGCATTCTGAGCAAAATTTCTCTCTGGGATGGCATCGAATCTGACTTCTACTCTTGAGGTTTTTCACACGAGGCAGGAAAAGATAATAATTGAACCCTTTGCTCCCAAGAGCTGGTTCCATTCATTGTCCTACCTGCAGTTCCCCTTTCTCTCGAGCTTTATCACCTGGGCTCCCTACTGGACTTGGGGCTGGAGACCTGAGTTTGCATCCCTGCTCCCTTGAACAGCTTGCTGTATGACCTGAAAATGACCCTGACCACCTCTGGGCCATATTGTCATCCGTAAATGGAGATGATATACTGAGCTGATGCCAGGGTCATTGTGAAGATCACCTAAGTTCAGGAATCTCAGAGTGCTCTGTAAAATGTGAAATGCTGTAGAGATGTGTGATACCATTATTATTTCAGTGAAATATTTATCAGTGAACTAGAATGACGAAAGTTCAAAGCAAAGCATCCCCACCTGAGGAGGGCAGGCTACCTTCCAGGTAGCCGTGAACATTAGCCTGAGGGCCGGTCCTCCCAGAGCTGCGGGTGAATGCTCTTCTCTTTCATTTCACCCACTGGACTGAGCCATTGCCTTTCCGGTCTCCTCCATCCGTAGGGTTTGCACACCATTGTGCGGGTCCCTCCTCTGTATGCCAGGCCGCCTCAGATACAGCATCTATCTGGAGACCAGGAGAGTGAGCTCTGTGAGCTGGCAGATTGCAGGGCTGCCAGTCCCAGCAGATGGGACCCTCCCTGGAGTGCATTTAATTGGGTTTGGGGGTGGAAGAGAATAAAAGGCATCGTGCCACCAAAAACAGGCAACAATGCAGAATAAGCCCCTCCCTGCACCACCCCCAGACTGGGCAGCTCCCAGCGTGAGCCACAAGCTCGCTTTGGGGATTGTAGAAGGAGAGATAATGATGATGATTTTCAAGTAAAGACATTATTTACTTAAAAAAAAAACTTAATCATTTTATTGGGGGGCTCTTACAAATCTTATAACAATCCATCCAATAGCATTAAGCACCCTTTAAAATTTACTTTCTTAATCATTTTATTGGGGGCTTGTACAATTCTTATCGCAATCCAAACATACATCCATTGTGTCATGCACATTTGTACATTTGTTGCCATCATCATTCTCAAAACATTTGCTTTCTACTTGAG